AATTCTTGCCTTCACTTCCTATGGCTACTTACATCCATCAATGACCAACGGCTGTTCACTGCGTAGGCTCTCAGATAATCGCCGGGGCAGGCGGCCACGTGAATTTTGAGCAAGCGGGCACCGGAAAAATAGTTCGCTGATTTCTTGCGGTCCGCTTGCAGAAATTGGAATGATTTTGGCCAATCTTTAGAAGAACGCTCGGAGAACTATCGCGGTTTTTCTATGCATAAGTAGCGGCCCAGTGGCCGCATTCTCGCGGACTTTCCGCGAGAATATGCAAAATTGTTGAGGGCCGCACGGTCCTTTGTGAAGAACCGCACTGCTCAGGGTTCTTTCCGCTGAGAGAAAGTGCCCCAAACTCAGGTAATTAAACCAACGATTACACCTCTACCACATAGAGTCTCACCTTTGCTCGGCGTATGCCTGCATCTGCGTAAAAAGAGTCCGAGCGCTTGCTGCATGTTTGGCCAGCGCTTGCTGAAAGAAATTATATTATAAGGTATTTGCCGAGCGAGCGCTTACAGAAAATGCTGTATTGCTGCCCGCTGACAGAATATGCGACCGTAAAGGAAGTATCGCTCGCTGAAGGTTTGGCCACGCCCCAAAATTCTGCTGACCGCTTGCAGAAAAGCCGGCCTGTCCCGGCGATTGTCTGAGTTAGGGTATGCTATTCGACTGATTCTTTCAATAACAGAACATCAAAACTTATTTAAATTCCAACCGGTGCTTTTTTAAGGTCGCTATCGGTCGAGAAAAATTGGCGCCGCCAAGGCTATACTCAGAGCTATACTTGTAACCGGGGATGTCTAGTGGTATAACGGTTTCAACCGGATCGATAGACAACACGGATTGAACGACTAATAATTTATCTCAGAGAACGACAATAAACAACAAGAAACAAGAACGCGTACCTTCAACAAGGCTTAACAACGAAACTGCGGGCTTTACCCTCTTTGACCACTTCGGCAGGCTGACTGGATGAACTCTCTATCTAAGGGGGAGATCCGCCTCTCTTCGACGGAGTTAGCTCCCGCTAGCGCTTCCTCAGCGCACTCTGAGACTCCCCCCCCTAACTCCCGGTAATTATACCCTGCCGAAGGGTTCAGCGCGGGCTTTTCTTCCCGCCACTGAAGATCGGTAGGTCGGTGATCCGCGCCCTCTGACATACTCGGATATACTCTTATTGTTGCCCGCTCTGCCAGCGGGCAACAATACAGCATTTTCTGCAAGCGCTGGGCTAATAATTTCTTTCAGCGAGCGCTGGTTAAACTTTCAGCAAGCGCTAGGACTCTTTTAACGCAGTTTCGGGCATACGCCGAGTAAAGATGAGACTCTATGTGGCAGAGGTGTCATCGATGGTTTAATTACTCAAGTTTGAGGTACCTTCTTTCAGCGGAAGGTACCTACGGGCTGTGCGGTCCTTCACAAAGGACCGCGAGGCCCTCAATATTTTTGCATATTTTCGCGGAAAGTCCGCGAGAGTGCTGCCACTGCGCCGCAAGTAATCCATAGAAAAACCACGATGCTTCTCCGAGCATTCCTCCAAAAATTGGCCAACATTCTTTCGAATTTCTGCAAGCGGACCGCATGAAATCAGCGAACTATTTTTCTGGTACCCGCTTGCTCAAAATTCGCAAGCCGCCTGCCCCCGACGATTATCTGAGCGTGAAGGTGAATGCGCGCTGTTTCCAGCGGGGAAGTACCACTATGGATCCTACTTCGTGAATGTGTACCGTCAGACCATGAAGATTCGCGACTCTAGATCAGATCACCTTTGCGTCGAACTTCTGCGCTCATCGTTCTTAACAAGATTCCCGTCGCACCTAACGTCTTACGCTCAGAAGAAAATGGTACCCGGACAGTGGGGAACTTCATGGAATGTCCACTTTTTCAAGAAGGTGGACGGGATGATCTCCGAAACAATCGCTTAAAATGCCTGCTAAGTGTGCTGTACAAGCTTTTCACGAAGATTATCCTTGCTCGCTTTCTAGGACAATGAATGAAACGCAGCTTCAAGAACAAGCTGGATTTCGCAAAAAATGCAGCTGCATGGACCACTTCCAGGTGGCTTCGAGGGTATAGAGGTCTGCCGGGAGTATCGACTGCCTCTCGTCCCAACCTCCCGACCTACAAAAGAGCTTCAGATACCGCCGAAACCGACGCCATCATGTCAGCGTCATTCGATCAAGGAAACCCGGATTATGTGAGAGCAGACTGCTGCAAGCCCTGTAAACGACGACGCAGCCATTCCATCGCCCCCTGTTCCTCCCAGTTGGGAAGAGGGTTCGATAAGGCGACACGATTTCGTCAAAACCGTTCACCGGGGGTGCATGGAGTCAGTGGACTGCGACACACTAGTTAATGGAAGATTCCTCTCGAACCTTCATTTCGCGGAATACTGTTCCCTTTTTGAGTTTTCGACCAGTATACTGAAGCAGAGACTATGATGAAGAACTAAATGAAGTAGGGAAGAAGATCGGATTGCGAAATTGGGACAGGGACTCAATTCATGAGAAGAGCCTTCTGCGAAGATGCAGAAATGAATCTAGGATGCATTTCATCACGGAGGACTTCTCACATGTAATTAAACATGGAGAACTCTGCGGGAAGAACTGGCAAGACAAGAAGAGTAGTCTGTGCCGCCTTCAAGCTTTTGAAGGAAGCGCCTATCAGCTAACAGACCCAGAGTTCTAACCCACATGTTCTACGCATTCGTTCCCCTTGCGCTCCATAATGCAGTCCAGACTTCGGCCGACACTGCAAGCACGTCGAAAGCTCTACCCACTCACAGGGCGGTTGAGTGCAGTCCTCTGAAGATGACCTGACACAAGCAACATGTCGTCGCTTCGAGTACCGATATAAGAAAATTGTCCTCTCTTCGTGACCCAGCGAATTACACTGCGAAAGCGAAGCGATGGGTCACATCATGAGAAGAACGGACGGCAGATGGACACTATTTCGAAGAATGCAAGCTCATAATCAGATGGATAAGCTTTTCGCATCTGGAATTCGAGGACGCAGCAACGACAACAAGAAAGAAGATGGATGTCTTGAAGACGGACAAAGGCACACGGAAATTTTTGTTTTGACGCAAGCCACGTGAAAAGGGACCGCATGGATTATGCTGCTCGTTTGTTTCCCCAATAATAAGACGAAATAGAAACTTGTCTGATGAGAAAACTTCACTTATTTGCAATGGTGATTTATAAGGATGTATATTAATAGATAAAGCTCAAAACGCTGAACTCAACTATAGGTTTACCTGCGAAGCTTTTTTACAACAAATGATTTCAGATTTTTTTGAATACAAAACGGGAGTTCTGCCCAGGAAAGAAATGACGGGTTGTGGACAAGGCATTGTTGGAAAACGCTCAAAAACGTTCAGATAGCATCTGACTAAAAGTACGGTGTTTCCTAGGTTAAATGGTTGAGTCTACTCCTTCACGGAAATTGACGTTATTTTGCAATTTTGCATGCACGCAAATTGAGCAAGAAAGAAGCTCATAATTTAAGGTGAAGCTCCGCAAATATAGAAGGTACATCTGAGACTAGCGTTTTGAGTTTTATCCACTGTTACACATCACCTACCCAATTTCGACTTCGATGAAGCGGCCAGAATTATGTTTTAGAAATGCAACTACCCAATGTGGAAAAAATGAATTAGTCCACACATAAAGTTGCGCAGCTCTGCGAGTGATCTGTAATTGTAGAAGTTATAAACTATCCGATTCATAAGTGACAACTGTGTTAACCGACTGTGTCGACTTTATCAAATGATTTTCTATGCGTTAGTGTAATGAAGAAGTTCTGAAGCAGGAAACAGTTCCAAACGTGTGGGTCATCGTGATTTTGCCTACGTCGAAAAACAGATATATTCGCAAATTAATGTCTTCGCTTTATTTTGCTCTACATCGCATGACGAGGTAATCATTAACTTTGCTATGAACATTATTATCACCACAAACACGGTGTTGAGTCAACGAGGTGATCGAATACACTTTCTTGGTTGTTTGAAAGATAACCCAATGCGCGAAATTGATTAAGTTTTTTGCAAAATCACTCGTTGACTCGGAAATTCTTACGTAATCAACTAAGAATTGTGAACTTTTCTAGTTCAAATTCATGGTTTGCACTTGAAAGTTAAAGAAGGTTGCGCTCTACGAAAGTGAACCTACCGTAACCTTATGTGGCTCTAGGGGAAAAAGTTTTTGATTACGGCACTCATTCCGTAGAATTCAGTCTGGTGCCAAAAATTTTTAAGAGTGTCTTGCTAACACCAAAAATTATAAATTCTTCACCTAGAAGTTTATCGTACAGTTCGTACTATGGCAAATTCAATATCGCATGAAAATGCAAAAACAAAAAATTTGTAGGGAAGGTCACTTCTCAAGACATCATCCATTATTATTGCATTTTAATCATATCTCGAAATCAGAATTTTATCTAATGCTTATCTAGATTACTACGACGTTTTTGGAGGGTCAAACTGTGTTTATGCAGACAAGAATGCAGTAATGGAACCTTTATCTTGCAGATGTTTTGTACTAGTTACTATATTTGTATTCTCAAGCGAGATTAAAGCCATAGTAATGTATGAATACTTCTATGTAAAATTGTATAGATTATTCTAGGCTAACTACCGCCACGAACATGAAATACGAAAAGTGAAGTGTTTAAAGCTTTGTTCTCCAAGGATAACCAACCAGGTTGAGGTCATTTCGTTGTTGTAAAGCCCGCAAAAACTAGCGTAAAAACTTTGTATTCCATAGCACTTGTATCATCGGAAGAATTAGCATGTCACATTAGTCCACTGCTTGCTTTATGCGAATTGTTTCGTTCCTCAAATTAACTTTCTCACCCACATCTAAATGCAAGAAAATGTGACAATTGCTTTCGAGAAATCCAAGTTTGTTGAGAGCAAAATGATGCAGAACACTGCTACTATGTTTATTAATAACTTAATCACAATTTATATTAACATACATAACAGAACATTTTGACACGTGAACCACCAGAATTATCTTAAGAAACAGTCACAAGGGATAATCTCCATTGACACTGGAAAGCTCCATAGTGTATGTCATGCATGCAGGATAATACCAATAAACTCTAATCACACAGAACTGGTAAAATAAGAAAGTGTGCAAGAAACAATCATGGAAACATTCTGCTAAAAATGTTGTTGATTGTTAGACTTATATGTCATTGAAGAACAAAAGTTACAGCATAGAAAGCTCAGCCATTTGGAAGTTTGTAAAATCCCAGAAAGTCTTTCATGCGGTTTACGTTATAAATGGGCGAGACCTTTCAAGTGTCAAAAACAATTTCGTATCCTTCTATTTCCTAAGCATATCTTCCAAATAGCTGAAAATAAGCAATGTCTTTAAAGAAGCGATAGAGATCACAGTTGGTTGAAATTCCCTGGCGATTAGGTGACAAGTATAGAAGCTCATCATTTTCGGGTCACCTAGCATTCTCGATTCGAACAGTTCGTTTCCTCCTCGTCAGTCTAGAAATATGAATAATGTAAAAGAATTTCCATATTTGCGTTAGAAAAGTCAATCCGTTCTATGCTTGGTTATAATTATTCTGTAGAGAAAATGGTGCACAAATTTTTGAAGAAGAAAATTGGCAGTAGAAAAAACAACGAAATCAAAGCTCAAGGTCCTAATCATGATATCTCTTTTAATTTCGATTTTTATGTACTACAAAGCTGATTTTATAAGCTGCAGTAAGAACTCTAGAATAGGAACTGTGAATGTTTACTTCCATGCGTATTTCCCAGTTTCAACTGCACAACACATAAATATTATATAATCCCTCTTAAGCAAACAAGCTTTCTAGAAAAGGCATTCACTTGAGCTTGAGTTCTGACCAAAAAAGTAAATGTGAAGAAGCGAAGAAGTTTGAGCTTTGGAGGTATTTGTTTAGAGTTTTGTAAATTTGTGATAGACCTAGCTGAGTACTGATCAATCAAGGTTGAGTGCACTTAATCTTAAAAAAATGGATGTGGGTGTCAGCCATGTTCTGCAAAAATTTTCGCTCAGAACTCAAGGAATAAGAGCAATTCTGCATCATCTTTGTAGATCCAAGTACCACATATCCATAGACGACATCATATAAAGCTATAGGAAGTCAACAGATAGGCTATAATCTCCATCATTGCAAAAGGAGAATTATGCCAAAATATAATCTCATTTATTGCAAAGGAGAATTATGCCAATATTTTCTTTCATCTGCTTCTTTTCACTTGTCTAAAATCACAAATAAACGAACCGGTTGAAAATCAGGCATTTCACGTAAATTGCGAGCAATTTGATTGAGGCTGCGATCGTTGTAAGCTGCTTGCGAGAATAACTTCAACTCTCGCCAGTCACTTTCACATAGAATCTGATTTTCATGAAGTCGAAATCGCTCTCCAACGACGAAACTGTAATATAGTTCCATATTCTGGTGTATTCTCTGGAATTACAGCTAGTGATGAAGATTAAGATACCTTTCTGAGCAAACGCTGCAGCGAAAACATTTCAGATGGTACAGATTGTTCCTAAATTATAATTATCAGTCAAATTATCGAATAGGATGATCATCTTTGACCAACGAGACGAAATTGAAGTTTTCTAATGTTTCTTGATTTCAGATCCTTGCTAAAAACTGCCTAAATGACATTTTAATTCGCCGATCTTTTTCAAGAGGTATCCTACCTATGTTAGACCTTTTAAACCAAAACTGTTTTCGCCAAGTGTTATTGTATTGGATTGATGCACGATTTGCACCAAAATATATAATTCGTTTCAAAAATGCTTCAAACCTAATCATTTGATACAGTTTTTTTTGACAAGTATACCATTCGCGATCTTACTATAATATCTTTTGGTAACTGCCAAAGCGATGCGACGAGGGTACTCTCCTCCCACATATGCTTTGTCGTTGCGCTATGTGTTCTCTTACAGTGTTAACAGCAGATTCGCGACAACGAGGGCAGTCCAGATTATGCGGAGACGAAATATAACTGCGATACATGAACTAACACGGATGTGCAGAGAAACGCCGAGAGAGTACTGGGGAGCGCATGCACTCAAGGAGGATCCACATAGTTTGCATAATAGCGACGTAGAGTTGACGGCGTTCGTAGCTGGTTTCCAGACTGTATGCACTTTAAGTGCAAATTATAGAGCTTGCTCCGCATGGAAAGTGCAAATATGGGCAACAGTCGTCAAAGATCACCTCCTCATTCATAAACAAGCAAAGAAGGGATCAAGTGTGTCATGTACAGCCCAAACAACAACGAAATATTGATTCCAGGCTACATTAGTGCAAATGTCTGACCCCCAGTTGCTATCATAATTTGGAAAACTGCCGCCCATTTTGCTTCCTATCCTGCCTAACTTCTTACAATCATTAGCGAAAAGCACATGATTTTGAACAATATGAAGGTTAGGAAAGTAAGATAATATAACCTATCATTCTTACGGGGAGTGTACTTTTTGAAAATATTGCTTTTGCCTCTGGAAATAGAAAAAACAGGGGGAGCTACGTCTCGTTGGAAGAAAAGAATCAGTCGATTCATGCGGTAGTACATTTTTCTAAATCTCTAGGAACATTTTGCCAAATTTCTAGGATTAAATGCTGAATCTCACAAAAACCTGTCAAATACTTACTTTTGGATGCTTTTACATTGTGAAAATATTGTTGTTGCCTCTGAAAACAAATAAGCAGAGGGAGCTCGGTCTGCTGGAAGGAAAGACCCAACATATCCACTTGAAAACACATTTCTTCCAACTAGATTTTAGTGCGAAAATTCACAGAAACTTGCTGCGTTTGTTTTTGGCGGCCTCTACTTTGTGAAATCCCTACTTTTGCAAATAAAAACAACACAGCAGAGGGAGCTTGTCTTAATGGAAGAAAAGACCTATTGTTCATGCGTCAGTACATTTCTGATATAATTCTTCAGGTTTCAGTGCTGAATGTCACAAGAAGGGCTTGAAATTCAGTTTGGCCGCTTTTATCTTGCGAAAACCATACTTCTGCTTTGAAAAGCATAAGTCTCGAAGAAAGGAAAACTTCAAGGACTTCATGCGGCAGCGCATTTAGGCTAATAAGGGAATGGTCAGAAGAAGTGGCCAAACCAAACAAGCTGTATATCATTCGATGCAGTATAAAACGCTGACTTCGAATCTGTCTTTTTTATCTGCTTCCCTCTTCTGTGGACGAAGCTACAAGCGGTTTTATTGTAAAAAAAATCGTACATAAAAACAGCGAAAATGAGCACGTTGTTGCACTTTTAGCTCGGCTTCTGGCTTCAAAAATTTTAAGTAAGCTAGCGACATGTTTTGGCCCAGCATTGAGGCGAAAGTGGCTCTGTACGGCTAAATTTTCAATTTCACGCATAATTTCTTAGCAAAATAATGGTCTTTAATGGCTTATAACTTCGTCCAGAAAAGCGATAAGCAGATAAAGAAGACATATTTAGAGTCAGCGCTTCATGCTGCATCTAACGCTACGCAGCTTGTCTGGAATGGCCACTTCGATTTCTGACCATTCCCTTGTAAGGATTTTTCAGTTTCAAAGCTAAATCATGCAGAAGCTCGCTTGAAATTCACTCTTGAATACCCAGAGGGCTCGAACAGGACATTTTTGCTAGGATTGTCCAAGAAAAAGCTTTGAGCAAACTTTCGTCTCGCTTTAAGGAATGACCGTTTCTTGGCAAGACGTAATAAGGAGAGTATAGGACTGTGCATGATCGCCAAGCACGGTGTGTTAGCGGCCGTTGCACAGTTCCTGAGTGTCAGCCTGAGTTTCGGGTTGAATCAGCTGTTCTACGACTGCTACAACGTAGATGATTTTGGAGTTACTCGCTGTGAAAAGTTTCCTTGAGAGCATAAGCTTACTTCTACTACTACGTACTTACGTTGCGCCAAGCGTTGAGAAAGTGGAAATGATCTTGAAATGAAACTTTGAAATGAGCCTGATCTTGTTTCTACTACTACTTGCATTGCGAAAAAGATCGTTGAGAAAATGGAAGTCCATTTCCTTGCCATTATAAGTTGCACGCAGACAGTTATCAATGTATCTGCCCCAACCCACTTGCTAGCGACCCGTAGGGTCGCTACTGCCGCAGGACATTTTTGTTAAGAATTCCTTGTTTTTAAGGCTAAGTTATAAAAAACTTCCTTTGAATCCACTTCAGGCAAAAATTTTTGTGCTCTCAAAGGCAGAAAAGTAAAGAAGCTCTGCAAGAAGAACACCGAAAATGATTTGAGAGTTATCATTATAAAAGGTTTGCTTGAGAGCATGATCTTACTCCTACGACTACATACTTACGTTTCGCCAAAAATTGTTGAGAAAATGGAAGTCCATTGTCTTGCCATTTCAAGTTGCACGCAGACAGATATCAATGTATCTGCTCCAACCCACTTGCTAGCGACCCCTAAGGTCGCTACATTCCTTAATTTCAAGGCTAAGTTATAAAAAAAAACCTTGAAATCCATTTCAACCGCGCCTACTTCGCGAAAATTATGCTTGTGCACCCAAAAGCAGAAAAGAAAGGAGGCTTCAAAAGAAGCATAGAGCCATGGGCTTCACAGCAGGATCTTTTTGCTGAATTATCCAACAGAAAGTTTCAGCGAGCTTTAGTATCGCTATAAGGGTGCCTTCTACCGCGCCGGCAGCCGCCGCTGGCAGCCCGTAGCCGCAGCTGGCCGCTTGTCATAAAAGCGCAAAATTATCAAATTCTTGCTATCTTAAGAGCAACCGCCCACGCTTTCCATCTTCCACGCTTTTTCCTCCCTGTTGGCAATTCGATCTCTATATCATACTTGTGGCCATTGCTGTTAAAATCTTGTTGCCGTAGATTGGTTATCCTATTGGTAATCAGTTTCCATCTCGCAGTTGAACCATATTTCGCCAAAGCTTCTTTGCGGTGTGATCGTCTGACTTTGGATGCGTCCAGTTTTTGCAGTGTTTATTTTTTATGCATGGTACTGCTTCAAGTATATCCTTGGCCGGTGCTTAACTTAAATAACTCTGCAATGTGTGAAAGTGGAACTGCAGATTAGCCGCAAAGGGAGGAAAAAACGTGGGAGATGGAAAGCGTCGGCGTTTGCGCTTAAAATAGCAAGAATTTGATGATTTTGTGCTTCTATGACAAAAGCGGCCAGCGGCGGCTACGGGCTGCTGGCGGCAGCTGCCGGCGCGGTATAAAGGCACCTTAAGAAATGACCTCATGTATCGGGAGACATTATCAAAATGTAGAGTTGCGCATGATTGCGATGGTCGGTGTGTGCGGCCATTGCTTGAGAAGGATTCCATAAGGTTCCTTCGTCCAGTGAACAACTCCTTATTTTTCAGAGCTACAGGCAATCAAAAGCTAACGTATGATTGCGGAAAAGCGTTCAAAAAAGGTAGAGAACTGAGAGAGCTCTATGCATAAGCAATGGTATACTCACCGATCTTTGCTATCATGCAAAGCTCTACGTTGTCGTTCGGGGATACTTTACGAAATTTGATCAAAGCCGCTTTGAAAAATTTACATGTTTGGTTTTTCAGTCACTGGAAGCTTTTTAAAACATGACACAGTTTCTGAAAATCAGCCTGAGTTTTAGTTTGTATCACTTCAATGTAAAATTTCACGGGAACTGCTGAACATCTGTTTTGGCTGCTTTTACTTCGTGGATGTTCTACTGTTGCCAATAAAAACAACACAGCAGAAGCTTGTCTTAATGGAATAAAAGACCTAATGAGTTCATGGCGCAGTCATTTTTGGTATAATTCTTTAGGTTTCAGGCTGCTCACAAAAACATGCTTGGAATTCATTTTGGCCGCTTCTACTTTGCGAAAATCGTACTTCTGCCTTAAAAAATCAAAAAGAACAGAGGAGGTTCTCGAAGGGAGGGTAGCTGCAACAGCTTTATGCGGCGGTGCATTTCTGTTAAGAATTTCTCAATTGCAATGCTAAACTGTACAAAAGCTCGCTTGATTTCCACTTTTGGCCGCTTTTACTTCGCAGAAATCATACTTCTGCCTCCTATAATAAAGAAGCAAAGCAAACTTGATCTTAAAGGCACCGTCTATCCAAAATTTCGACCTCCGTGTTTTTGCCGTTCCAGGGCCTTCTCATACCCCTGATTCCGAAAATCGAGCCGAGAATCCGCGAAAATTAAGAAAAACCCCTGTTTTCAGAACCCGCAGAGCTTTTCTTCGACGGTGATTGGTTGGGCGCGCACGGATGGGCGGGACGAACGTCACGCCCACCCGAAAGGGGAGGAGCCAACGTGGCGAACCGTCACCTGAAGCGATTTCCGAAGCAATTATCTCGCTTCGGAAGCAACTTTATGCAGCGCGAGTTGGGCAATCGTACAGTTGGGGGCCTCGCAGCTGCTAGATATTATAATCTCACCAACCCCAATTTTGGTGGACGGTGCCTTTGAGGGAAGGAAGGTCCCGAGGGCTTATGCGGCAAGATCAATGCTAACTTAACAAAAATATTGCTTGAAACCCACTTTGGTCGCTTTTACTTCGCAGAAATAATACTTCTGCCCCTTTAGC